AAGACGAACAACAGAGAGTCCACGCATTTCTCAGTAGAGCCGCCAACGAATAGCGCCGAGAATCTTTCCGTTTGGACTTTTCACCTAGTTGCCGACTGCCATGGGAAAGTGAAGCTGCAAATGCGCATAGATGACTCCGGGAGCGTTTGCATAAATAGCATAGAAAATCAAAGGAATACTGTCTATAACCACATGACCATCAGCGCTTTGACGGTGGTTAGCCTTTAGGAGGATCTTTGATCCTTGAATGAATCCATACGTGAGGGAAACGCGCTATACCCACCGCTTAGATGAAGAAGGATATGACAACGGCGCTTGGCATGACGTTGGACTGTGGGTTGAAGTTGGGGGCACTGCATTGGTCATTTGCACTATTAGCATTATGTCTTGATTTAAATAGTATGAGCATTTTGATAGGTGGATTCTACTTTTAGTCACGCATCGCCAAGTGTGACGTCTTATTTTCCAATATGGCGTCTCCAGCGAAGCAGGCAAGATCCTCGAAATCTTACAATTTACACGAAGTTTTAGCTTTACTAGACGAAGAAGACAACGAAATTGAGATTGATAGTGGTCCTGAAGGAATATCAAGTAGCRAGGAGAGTGATTTAGATCGACAATTACGAAATTCTTCTGACGATTCAAGGTGAGTCGAATATAAAAACGTGTTCATGCTTTACGGCGGAAAAAAACTCCTCATAAAGTTGCTTCGGACCATGAACAATGCACTTAGGCTTAGGAACAAAACCATGAAAAGTACTGAAATGTATTTGGAAACCAAAAAAGTCTGTCTTATGATAAAAAAAGCAAAATATTAGGGAATTATGATGTTTCGCGGGAAGCAAACAGCTGAGCGAAATTTTATCCAAAGCATCTTTACATTCGGTAATGTCTCTTTCGCTGTTAGGCACTTTTTTGCTTAGCAAATCACCTATAATCCAGCTTTTTACTCTAATATATTATCAAATATAATTGGAAGTTGATTATTTTGTTGTTCTATTGCAATATGAAGTATAAAATAATTTGCTCTTTTGACACTATAGATAACATATTCAGTCATGAGCAATCTTGTCAGTAGCAAAAAATTATCTTCATTACCTATGAATGCAACAAGTACAAATAGTATTTACTAGAGCAATGTTTTCCTGTTGATGTTTGAAACTAAGGTTATTAATTTCAATCTTTTAGCGATGGAGGACAAGACAGTGACTATGAACCCGATACAAATGCTGATGATTCTCTTAGCGATCCTGGGTCCTCAAGTGGTAATGAAAGCAATGTTTCCAGTGATGAAACTTCTCAAGGTGGTCCAAATCGTCCAAATCAGGTTCATGGAAGAGGTCGTGGACGTGGACGTGGCAAAAGCAGAGGACGTGGAAGAGGCTATGGACAAGGACGTGGTCGAAATGGTGGACGTAGGCTGAGTGGCCATGTAATGCAAGCAGACCAACAACGGCCTTCAAAAAGCTACAATGACCCTGATGTAGGTAATGTCATGCCACCTTTTGCACCTAATCGTCCACCAGGAGTACACTTTGGTCAAGTTCTTCTGAGGAACGGCATGACAACAGCACTAGAGTTTTTTCAGCTATTCTTTTCATTAGAGATGATTACAGAAATTTGCAACCACACAAATAGCTATGCTTATGAGCATATAACTGCAGGAACTCACCAGTCTTACTGCAGTCCTGATGGTAGCTGGCAAGAAACGACTCCTGAAGAAATCAAGAGATTGATTGCAATTATTATTTACTTTGGCCTTGTCAGAKTGGGCTCGCATGTTGACAAGTACTGGAGTACAAAGACCCTTTACCATGGTCTTTGGGCAAGGTCAATCATGCCAAGGATAAGATTTAGGGCACTTATGGCCTTCTTGCAWGTAGTTGATCCAGCAACTGAGGCACCTGGTAATAAGCTAAGAAAAGTCCAGTCCTTTATTGACTCATTCAAAGCAAAATGCAAGAGTTTGTATCAGCCCAAACAAAATATTGCTGTCGATGAAAGAATGGTAAAATCTAAGCACAGGTCAGGTATACGGCAGTATATCAAAGACAAGCCAACCAAATGGGGCATAAAGTTATGGGTTTTAGCTGATAGCAGCAATGGCTACACAGTTGATTTTGATGTGTACATTGGAAAGACAGCAGGAAGACAAGTCAGTGTTAATGGTCTTGGTTATGATGTTGTCATGAACTTGATTCAACCCTTTGTCAACCAAGGGTACCACTTGTTTTTTGACAATTTTTATACATCAGTGAAACTTATAAAAGATTTATTTGTCTTGGGAACACCAGCAGCAGGCACAGTTTCAGAGAATCGCATTGGATTTCCTCAGTCACTAGAGAATGGCAAGAAGTGGGCAAAGAAATTAGAGAGAGGCAGTATGAGATGGGAGAGGGATGGTCCATGCCTGGCTTTGCAGTGGAAAGACAATAAAGTGGTTTCCATGCTCACCACAATTGACAATGCTAATGAACATGGGCAGGCCACAAGAAAGACCAAAACAAACAATGTATGGCAAGAAATCACTGTGCTACAGCCACATGCAATAAAAAGATATAATATGTATATGAATGCGGTGGATCGCTCTGATCAAATTAAACTATAAGCGTGAGCAACTAGTTGTGATTCATTAATATATTGTTCTTAACTTTTCCMCCTTCTGCAGTCTAATGCTCAACCAGTTAAAAATGAACATTATTCTTTTGTCGGAAGCTATTTGCAATTCCTTTGCATCAAGATTGGGATGATTTGTGAGACTTTAAACGAAGTGGAAAGCATTAATTAATGTAGCAAAACTCCCCACCATTTCCTTARTGTAAAGTTCCCTGTCATTGTACCAAAATTACCACCCTGTTTAATGCTACAATTTTCAGGTGTTACACTGACTCTTTGGTCAAACCCCTTGGATTCAAACCTCTGTCCTGTTACAGCCCTACTGAGTTGGTTTATGATAACAGGGTAGGTGTTCATTAAAAAGAATAAGCATTCTTTCTATGTGGTGTCCTTGGAATGCAAACAGTATTTGGAAGGACAGGGAGTATTGAGAGGGGTCCGGACCAGGGGATCATTATATCCATCCCCCTTCAAGTAAGGGACAAATATKGATTTGGGTGGGGAAGGGTAGGTAGGCTCCTAACAACCATAATTTAAGCATTGAGCACTTCGATATGTTAACAACAGTGAAGCTATTGTTCTTAAAGGGGGAATTGCTAATAGATACCACTGGATCCTCCTGTTCCATTTTCTATTCACTGGACATGTGGAATTTATTTTGGTCTTTAAGTACTGAAGTATGCAAATCTTATTATTACTCCACTTTTTAGGCATCACTAACGGACTGATTTTCCCCCGTATTGTAAGAAATAATCTAGAAGTCAGTTCTTCAAGAAGCTATCATGGTGTATCTTCATATAGAAATACATTTGGCCAGGTAAGCAACATTCACTTTAAATCAAACATAATAATTATGTAACTTGGATATCAGAGACATAATATTTTACCAACAGATGTGCCAACACCTTTTTGGGAAGCCATATACTACCCATTTAATAAGAAGATCGGCAGCTCAGTGGGCTGCTCGCTGTGGTGCCGATGACAGCACAATAAAGAGGGCAGGGCGATGGTAGRTCACACAGTCAATATTCTAATTATTGTTAATCGAAGTATTATGATCATCCGGGTGGATGTAGTCCTGAGAAGGACTGTTTCATGTGACTGACGTTTCGACAACCTGAGCGGAAGTCATCTTAAAGAATGAATATTCTTCAAAAGTAAGATAAGTTTACATCGCAGTGGAACTAAACTACTATGTAGTGATAGTACTCTCGTTTAAAGCAGCGGAGAGTGTGAAGTGTATGAACTGTCACGCTTTCAATAAGTTAGTTGTGTGACATAATTTAGTATAGTATCAAGTGACATGTATATAGAGATAAGAGACATAAGAGAGAACACGTGTAAGCGCAAGCAACAAGTATCAAGCTCTAACGAGTGAATAAAGGATTTTACTACTGTATTTGTATCTGGAGTCAGATTGAAACTGATAACAAAAACACGAACCAGGATGACACCCAATACATATACGTAAATAAGAAAACGATGCTTCTTTTATGTCGGACTCGGACGCTACTAGTCATCAAGTCTTGCAGAGATTTTTTATTCTGTAAACCCAGTCTTATGGTACAATCACTTCAAGCTTTATAACTTATTTAATATTACTTTCTTGATCTTAAACGCATTTTTTTTCGTGGGGTTGCTGAAACCGCGGCGGAAACCGAGGACGTAGTGCTTTCTTCTTCGCTTTGATTTGAGTCATCCCCATCGACTACCATTGACAGAATTTCATGAGCGGAACGTACTTCTTAAGGGAGCTCCAGGCCAACTTCTGTTCGGCATTCGGGGCATGGGGTTCCGCATTTATGGCAAACCAGCATTTGTTCGCCAAACAGTGGCAAGCAAAGTTCACAGTTATCCTTGTTTACTGGTAATCCTGACAAGACAGGATTCTTTCTTCGCCACTGATCCTGGCACCACTCAATAATTTTGGGAGTTGCTGGCTCTCCTTTCTTCCAGTGTCCCGTTTTCTCCGAGTATTTATCTTCTTGCAGTCTATCCTTCAAATGACTGAACGCCTTTGCCTCCAAAAGCTTTATTAGGAGGTTTGTCACCACCTCATGCATGGCATATGTCATGGCTGGTTTCTTTCGTGTCCTTCCAGGCTCCCTCATCACAAGAAATTGCCAGATAGCAATATCATACAGCGGCCTGAGAAATTCGAGCTTTATAGCGCTCATGATGTTAAGAGAAATCAGACTAGAATACAAACTAAGTAGAGAAAAAATCACAAGTACTGTAATGTATGTGTTTGCTTGTGTTTTGACGCACGTGCGTAACCCATTCAGTGTTTTTCAGTCCCCTGACGACCCCGACCCAACTGTCGATAAAGGTCGCACATGCGCTGCATTGGGCGCAAGTTGTTGAAACATGGCGAGTGGAGGTGAAGCTAGAGACACAATGCAAAAAAAAACTGAAAAAATCCCTTCTGATGTAATAGAATTGATGAACTTGGCCATATATTCATTTGCATGTATTTCGGGTTTGAAATCCCACGATAAAGTAAGAGGGAATCCAGTGGTGCTTGGCGTACTGGCCATGTTCTTCAAAATGTTGGATGTGGCAAAGGAATCCACGCGGTGCGCATTCAAGGAAAGATTCGTAGATGCGACAGTGGATAAGCCTGGAAGATTCGAGAAAGCCGTTTGTTCCAGGCTAAAGTTAGCCAAGGCAAAGAAACTGAATGACACAGGACCTTCAGATATTCCATCATCTCTGCAAAAAAAAGGTGGAAAGATTTAATGAGGCAACCGCGCGCGTTCGGACGAAGTGCTTTCCACATTGCTGGAGATGCCAAGAGAGATGTCGCTGTTGCGTACTTAGAAGGAAGGGCAAGCCCGTAGCCGCATTTGGCTCAGAGTGAGTTCCCAATATATGTATAATGATATATAATGGTAGAATTTTCAATACTGAAATATGGGGCATGTTAGACCATGATAAACGCCTTACTGCTGTCGCGGTACAGACGGCTGTGGTATGGATGGCTGTGGTATGGACGGCTGTGGTACGGACGGCTGTGGTATGAATGGCTGTGGGATGGATGGCTGTGGTATGAATGGCTGTGGTATGGATGGCCGTGGTATGGATGGCTGTGGTGTGGATGGATGTGGTATGGACGGCTGTGGGGTGGATGGCTGTGGGGTGGATGGATGTGGTGTGGATAGCTGTGGTATGGTTGGCTGTGGTGTGGATGGCTGTGGGATGGCTGGCTGTGGTGTGGATGGCTGTGGTATGAATGGCTGTGGTGTGGATGGATGTGGGATGGATGGCTGTGATGGATGGTGACTGTGATGTGGATGGTGGCTGTGACAGTAATGTAGATGTAGATGTACACGAATATTGCGTGCCCTAAAGGACAATATCGTATAATAGTTAAACATATGATATGGTATTGTTTTGTATATATATGGTCCTATGATTTATATATACATATATATAGATATACATATATGTATTCATATTTGTATAAATATATGACATTGCAAAATAAACATTGGTCATTCTTCAAAAAATATATACGGCTATTGTGCTCGTTATAATTTTTTTTATTTGCATAGCATTCACGACATAAATATATAGGTCATAGCCGAAAAATATATATGGCTATTGTGCCTGCAATCATTATGGTTAGTGAACATCCTTTTGGCGGGCAACCTGACAGACTACGAAGGAATGTACTACCAACTACTAGCAAGATGGCGGATAATAGTGTGTCTGGTGTGTCTTCTTCTTCAATAGACTGACTTGTAAAGCAAATAATTGATCGTCCCGATTTCAAAAATGCAATAAGGGGATCGGAAGGTTCGCCTAGGTCAACAACTTCACCTCAAGAAACTGCCCAACAAGCTACAACGACGCCACAARGTCAGCAAACTCATGGCCAGACTCCAATGCAGGAGTTTAGAAGAATATTCTGCAGATCAGTCAATAACCCACCACAGTACACAACAAGGACAACATGGGCCCCCACTGGGAGAACGGTTCGTTCTAGTTTCTCCAGCAAAAACAAAGCCTCCAAAAGAGATTACGAAGGGAAAGCTAAAACAACAACCTTTAGTAGAGAGGTGGTTCTTCTGACACAAAGACACAATGCCAAGAGGAAGGGCTAAAGCGGAACTCCAAAGGATTTATCTAATCGGCGTTCAAAATACTCTAACACATTTATATTGTCATTATGTAGATTTCTACTAGCTTGATGACAAAGAGAAAAGATAGAAGTATGGAAAAAATTCTCAAAATCCTCAAGCTTCATCTTTGGTTTCCTCTCGATATTGGCACATCCTCTAATTGGCACATCCACTGACCATAATAATTGCAGGCACAATAGCCATATATATTTTTCGGTTATGACCTATATTTAATTCGTGAATTATATATATGTGAATAGATATAAAACAATACAACAAAATTCAGAGTAAACATATATTTGCTCCGAAAGAAATATTTGTCTCATTAGACCTTATATATGAATAAAGCCGTATATATACAAATCTATGTTATAAATGACCGCCATTATAACGTATATATTTTACATGTTATAAACATTTATTGTCATACAATATTGTCCTATATGAAGCCTCATACACGAAGATGAAGACAAAGATATAGATGCAATTGGGTTTTGCAACATGCTAATGAATAGTGATGACCAGTGGGCTATTTGAAAAGCTACATGTTGTGTGTCTGCAGCATTGGCGTGCTCACGTAAGCAAACAGCGTAAAGCGCGCGCAGTATGCGCGTGCAGAAGAAAAAAAATGGTTTAAAAATAGCATCAAACTGTGCACATGATGGTTACAAGACTATATAGGGGGCATTCCTTCTCTTAGTTCATTTTCTCTTGCGTATGCCAAATTAGCGAAATCTTAGTAATCAGTAAAGTATTTAAAGTTAGAGTCTACATCATCCAAAATAAAAGAAAATATGGACAAGTTTAGAGATGGCGTACGTAGAGAAAGAGAGTACGCGTCAAAACAATCAAGATCTGACTTCCTTGGAAGATTGACTTATGTTTACACTCAAATAGAGAAATTAATGGTCGCCTACAGAAATGAGAGTCGGTGGAAAAGTTCAAAGGAGATTTAGATCAATTTTATCAAGGATTTGTTGAAGCTAATAAGGATGTCATCGAGAATACTAACGACGATACAGAACATGCATCTACATATCAGGTCAAGCATTTTGCGTGAACACTGGAATGAAACCGAAATAGCTTACATTTTTAATTATGTTGTTCACTTTATTCTTGACATTTCCCCAAACTATTTCTTCATTTTAAGGATTCAGATGAAAACTTACATTTTAAAAATTCTACTTTGCTTTTATTTTTAATACATTTTATTTTTCAAAAAATGTTCTTACAGTCTAAATCTCAGATAGGAGTTCGTATGTGCGTGTATTCTTCAAATGATAAGAGTAATCAAAACCATATTTTTAATACGAAAAAGAAATGCAGAAAAATGATGAATCTTTTTTAACAGGTAAACACATTATGGGTATACTGTAGGATTCTTGCCATCAATTTTAATAACAAACAAGTTTTTTTATTTCTTKTTCGTTGATCTCCAAGCTATGTTAAAGAAAACCTTGGTATGGAAATAAGTATTTGCACTATCAAAAGAGTGCGAAGAACGCTTGGATGGGTCGTAACTGGTCCAAGATACTTTCAACTTGTGAGAGAGAGAAACTGCTTGCTAGGTCTTGAAGATGCCAATAAATGTCTTGATTAAAAAGAAGAATTTGGTAATGTGATTTTCACTGACAAAAGCAGCATTTGGATGCAGCGGCATGGAAACATATGTTCCCAAAAAGTTGTCCAGCGACCAAATCTCAAGCCCACAATGAAACACCCTTATGGGTGGGATGGGATGGTATTTGCAAGCGTGGTACGGCAGACATTTTGATCTTCACCAGAATAATGAAAAGACCTCTTTATGGAAGAAATTTTAAAGAACACTCTCCTGCCATTTATTCGCCGTGTATTTCCTTACGTTCATCGGTTTCAACAAGACACTAATCCAAAACATATAAGTTCAGAATTAAAAGTTGTTTATAGTAACATTTTTAACCTCACAATTTTGTGATCTCTTCAAGTTCAATTTATTTATTTACACTTTCATTATTTTTTTTAAATATTAGGCAAAGATGCTATGGCTTTCTAGGAGAAAAACAACACCAACTACATTCCTACACCAGCAGAGTAGCCTGATTTGAATCCAATCGAAATGCTTTGCACCAATTGCAAGACCATCTGCTGCGAACAGTTAAGCAAGTGACAAGCAAGAACTTGTGAATGGTATTCTTGATTTCTGGAACACCATCCCACCAGACGTCTGCCAAAAATATATTGGCGACCTTAATAACGTTCTCCCAGCAATAGTCAAGGATGTACCCCTCGTGCCTACACCAAACACGTATGCAACACCCATACAAAAATTTAATTACGGTATATGCATCTCCACAGCCACCTTTTCTACCAACAGGTCTAAAATACCCGCCATTCCTGGAATCACCTACACTAACCTTACCACACCAGTACCAATTTTAACGTCCAGTAAACAGATATTTATGGAGTTGCTAGAGGAGGTTGAAGTTGAGACTACCTGCAGTAGATGCCCAGCATTGAAAAAAAACYTAGGGAGGCTGAAAGAAAACTTGAATTGATAATAATTTATAATAATAATAAWAATTTATTGAATTTGTATAGCGCAAATCTCATTTGCGCTGTATTACTAGGTAAGAAATCTTAMCAGCTATTATGCTGCGTGTATTTCGAAATATAGTATATGGAGTGTGCTTGAAGTCACTCAAAAACATAAAAACCTATGAGTGCCTTGGGCGTATAATACATCATGACTTTATTTTAACAGGTTTTTCACCAATACGATTACCAAGGGCATCCCTTCACCAAGCTTTGTTTAATAATGCTGATGAGAGGTGCATTACTGATTCCTTTGTTAAAGTTCTCCCCGCAAGTCAACGAAATGAGGTGAGAAAGGCCCGGATCCTAGCACTTCGAAGGAGAACTTTCTAACCGATGAATTGTGTGAGATTTTGGAGGGCTACAGAAACGCAACCCTGCCAACTCCTGAAAATATCAGAAATGTTGTTCAGTCAATTGGTAAAATAGAATTTGTTTCAAAGCCTTATCTGTCATTAATGAAGATCAAAGAAGTATTGGGTCCTTTCTGGGACAAAGTAACAAACCAAGCAGTGCCTGACCACCATCGCTACTACAGTTTCGTCTTCCAGACATGCGACTACAATCGTATCCTTTGCATGGACGATGTCGGAGATTATCTCCTGGTGAGGCACTCCAATGATCCCTCCTGTTACATCCACGGAGATCATTACCATATGATCGTGAGAGGTCCCATATTTAAAGACTGGGCAAGGACGCAAGTGACGCAGAATGGCTCGTATAGCAAGATCTACAAAGTACTTCATTACCACGAGACGCGTCCCAGGGTAGCCACAGTATACAGAGATATCGTAGACCTGGTATGGTACTTGCTGCAGCCACCACGCCTACTTGTCGAATATACAGACCATTTTGGCCCTATCATCGAAGCAGCAAGACAACCGAGGCATAATCCCCCAGAACCACAAGGTAATAACCCAAATGACGACTCCATTGATTCTAACAGTACCCCCGAAGATATTCCAAGAAACCTGCTGAAGGCTGGCAAGAGGGCCAAATGCATGAATCAACTCATTGACCTTCACAAAGAATCGTGCGCACTGGATGGTCCATCATTTAAAGAATGGGTTCTCAATGAAGGTGGAGACAAATGGACTTTTGTCTTCAATAACTACATCAGTCAAGGCTTGAAAGTCTTTGCCGACGCTATAGAAGTGTGTAAAGACATGGTCGATGCAGAGTCGTTGTCCTGGACATGGAAAGAAAGCCTAGAACGCTTAAGACCTCTCAACAAGAAGGAATATCACTCAATTTCCAAATCGCAAAAGTTCCTACACAGATGGTGCTTGTCACAAGGTCTTGATATTTGGGAAGTTAACACGCAGTTGAAAGCAGTGATAGACAAAGAATGGCAGAAGATAAATTCCTTCCTTTTGCACGGAGAACACAACAGTGGTAAAACGATGGTGCTGATGTCAATACACGATGCTTTCAGAAAAGCCCAGATCATAACCAATAGTGCTAGTGTTGGATTCACATGGCAAGAAGGTACCCAGTCGAGACTGTTGATCAACGAAGAAGCAATGATAGCTACGACACAAACAGAGGAATACAAACAGATCATGTCTGGATGTCCCTGTATGGTCAACGTAAAGAATCGTCCTTAGAAAAGAATGCCAAGAACGCCTATATTGTTTTCTTGCAATACGATGCTATGGTCATATGTCGGACAGGCACCAGTATACGAATGTCGATGTTTAACTACAAAGCATTAGTCAAGCAACCTTGGTTGACAGACTACAAAAGAAAGATCCATCCAAAGGGTTGGAAGTTCTATCTTGATTGCATCGAAAGAGAAAGAAAGTCTACATCCAGCACGGGAACAGACTCATCAACCGACTTCGAAATAGATGTTCCCTCCAGATACTTGCCAGCCGCTAAATTCAGCAGCAGTGAAGAATCTCAAGATGGCAATTTCATGCCTGCCTCTCCAAGTTACAGTCCTGACGAAGCTGGTCCTTCGGGAATTAATTACGATACTATTTTTTATTCTCCTCAACAGGACGAAGCTGCCAGAATTACATCGAACGATACTTTCACTTCCCCGACCCTCCCCAACGAGATTCCACCCACTATTCCTACCGAACAAGAGCCAACACAAATGAAGGTTCGGTGTATACAGAAGAAAAATGCCAACACGTATTTCAACATTGATGAAGAAGAAAGTGAAGATGTCTGGCAAGATGCCCAAGAACCACCCAATAAGAAACAATTAATTGTAATTTCAAGCGATGAAAGTGAATTAGAAATCGTAGATTTGCCCCCAGAAATACATGTAATTTCAAGTGATGAAGATTGTTCCCACTCGAAAATAGGCTATTATAACCTAACTGGATTATTCCAATGTGCAGCATGTGGCTATGAATGTTAAATAAAATACATGAAAGATTGTTGCAAATAAAAGAATCATGAATACTTAACTCCGTTTCTGATCTTTCTTGATCAGGGATAAACTGCATCCGTCAAATCGAGAATCGAAAAATGGGGTAGTCGCGGAATCAATGAGTAGTCGCTGGGTGGGTGTGGTTTTGGGCGTGGTTTTTGCTGCGCGCGCGTGTGTTGTTGCGGCTGGCTGCTGCGTCTACTTCTTTTGTTTTTGGCCGCGCATTCGCTTGAGTTTAGTGAAAATGTATTAAAATTTCACAAAAAGTGGAGGGGCTAAAGCCCCCCCGGTTCTGCCGTCCCTGACAATATGGCTACTCAAGAATATATACCTCAAGTATGGTGTTCATTCTGAATAAATGCAATTACTTGATGGGATGAACAGCATTGGAAACTTTGGGGATATCATGGCCCACAAGTCAGTCTTTGATACAGTCCTTGAAAACAAGCAGAAGAAGCTTACTGCCTCTAAGTCTCTTTTTAAAGTAGATTATGCTGAGAAAGGATCAAATATGAGAAACAAGGAAGATAGCACAATGTATTGTTTTGAAGTGTTCCTGGTTGATCTTGAGGAGGGAGAAGCTGATGGAGTGGCCCTTGAAGATCTTTTCATATTCATTACTGTTGTAGAATCACCCCCATCGCTTGGCTTTGACTTGCCTATAACAATACAATTTTATGACTTTGTTGGGAAAGAACGTAGACGCCCATCCTCATCAACCTGCTGCCTGACACTGGATTTGCCCAGGGGTATGGAGGATCCAGAAAAAATCAAAAGCCTTATGAGAGATTCCATTCTCTAATCCCATGGCTCTGGAAAAGGACAAATGATCTGTAAATTAATTGTTAATTAATTGTCATTGACAGTTCTCTTACAGACTTAAAGTAATTTACTAATGTTCCAGTTGCTTTCAAAATTGACATTTTTCCAAATAAGTACAGTTGAGTTTTAAAGTTTAAAATGGATTCAGATTGTTAATCAAATGATTATGGTTAAATAGTCAAGCTATTGTATGTTACCTAATTTCTTTGACTGAACCATGGAGATTAACATTGGCTTTAACTGGGGTAGTTTCGTTGTTTTTTGGACCATAGTCAAGTCTGTGTTTGTCATCCCCTTGCCATTGGTCTTCCTCGTCTTTAGCCTTGTGTAAGTCAATTCCCCTGCAGGCTTCATCCATAATATTTTCCGCCAAATCTTTTGTTCTATCCAGATCTCGGCAATGGGTCTCTCCGAGATTTGATAGGGAACTTGTTTGTCTGTTTGAAATCTTGTCTCTTTTGTCCTGCTCCAGCTTCCTGTAGTAGTGCCTTTCCGTTTTTCTTTCGGGCCCTCCATCTCTTTTTGGCCAAATTTCTAATCGCTTTAATTTTCTCTTTGTCATTTACATTTTTTTTGATCCAGCGCTTTCAACTTATCAAAGCTTTTTTTCTATTATTATAGTATTATTGCATTATATATTATGCAGTTATGTTGAAAAACGTATTGTATTGTTTATTATGCTATATTTATTTATTGTTCTAAGTGCTTTTATGTGTTAAACTTAACTCACACAGTATTCTAAACTGTAGTTTTGTTAAAATCAAAGTCCAAAACCTCGAGTGCCACGTTTTCTCTTCTAATTTTACGATTTGTATCCAATAACTGATGTATATAGGATCGCTTGCATATGCACGTTCTCATGTTTTTTATTTTTAAGTCATGACTTATTTTTGACAAAAATAGCGTTTGCGAGTTCACCGTTCTGTCCAAAGTTATACTTTAAAATGCTCATAACTCACCTCGTATTTCTTATTTTGCTCTGAAACTTCGTTTGCTATAGTTCGTGCATTTAAGGCACAAGGACAAACTTTTTACAACGCTATTGTATGGATGGATTCAGACTTCGTACCCAAAGGTACAGGATACGTAGCATTATCTAGAGTACGAAGTCTGAATTCCATTCACTTTCTAACACCTCTAAAATATCAGCATTTTACACCTGTTTATTACGAAGGCAGGTCAACACTAAAGTCTGCACCAATAACTTTAGATGTGCACATGTGCTAACTTGTTTCATCCCAATAGGATCACTTAAAACCTATTCCCTTCTTCAGGACATTTCTTAGTTAATATGTAATATTTTAAATTGCATCTCAAACTAAATGCCAATATAAATTACACATCATACCTACATGTATGAGCTAAATCCTTAATGGTTATGAACTTGAACTGGTAAATTTCCACAATGAATGATATTTCATTTCATTCGTATTTTAAACGGTTCAGCCAACGTAGTCAAGTTTTTTWAAATGTCTGAAACTAAGAATAGTATTAAGATTGAATAGTAATTGTTTCACCGGTTTTTGAAAACCACTCTAGATACTTCAATTGTATTTCAGCAAGATATAGAAAAAATGAAATTTATATGATATGTTCTTTTGATTACAGATTGTTATAACTGATGCCAGACATGATTGTTCTCGTAATGCCCAACATACAACACTAAAAGCTATGCCATACTAGTAAGTATTGACTAACTATTGTGTATAAAAAGAAACTCTATTTTTACTATTATGTTCTGGGGTGAATTGATTGATCTAGCTCTAAGACAACAATTCATTCTTTTATTCAATTATTAGCAACAAGAAAATACTTATGACGGTGAACTGGTCAAAAGCTACCTTGGCCTTTGCAGCTTTGAGAGAAGTACCAATGACAAAGGTGTTATTTGAGAGAAGTACCAATGACAAAGGTGTTATTTGACAGACTTGTAGAAATTGGTATGAAAATTGAAAATTCCTATTCTGTCTCAATAGCACATTTGCATGATGACGTCACGCGCGCAAAGCATGCTGGTTGTAGAGGTCAAGGCTGAAGAAACCAAAATGGCTTCTATTAGCGGTGGTTATACTTGCTGTGTTCCAGGGTGTTTTAATAATAATAAGCGTGATAAACATTTGTCTTTCTACGAGTTTCCGAAAGATAAAAAACTGGAATCTTTAATGCGGTAAACATTAGTGTGCATGAGATTGATGATTCCATTTATTTTAATAGTAATCACATTCTTTTCGTTAAATTTTACACTGGTTTAGTGCTTTAACAGTTTGCGTTATAACAGCTTTTGTGAAGTTGAATAACATTTACCAAACACTATTTTAAAGCTTCAATCAACACTAGAGACAATCAATTTTATGATGAATTTGCTATGTTCAAGAGCCAATGAATCAAAAGGGAAAGCTGCCTTTCTTGTACTCTCCCCATTACTAGTTGAAGGAGACAGCCAGTTTGAGGCAATAATAAGAAATGCATTCTTAGACATCAACATCAAGACGTGGAAGCATTCTTTTGGCCATATTATATGCGCACTAAAAAACATTGGGGTCTGTGTTTTCTGGTTAGCAGAAGCAACAATCCATTTTGATGATGGCCTCCATTATCCTATTTCCAGTGAGCTGAAGAAATTGTGTAACCAGATACTTGACACTTAACATCACATCACTGGAGAGACCACACTGTGTTCTAGTACTTGGAGCTTTGCAAGGTTTAAAGAACCCATGCCAGATCAGATAGTGCATGAGAAACAATAACATGGAACTGAAAGCTGTGGCGTCGGTATTATTCTTGCTGTAAGGGATTTAATCCATTGCATTCCATTTCTATGGACATTCGAAGACGCGATGTATCATCGTGCAGCCATATTGTTAGATATCGTAAAAATTTTGCTCAAAATTCTTTGGCATAATTTCAAAGTGACACTCTTCACATATGAATACAAACACTTCCAACAAAAACTTCACAGAACAATGTTTTGGCATCTTGTAAATATTACCACATAGTGTTGTAAAAATGTGAAGCGTATTGGCATTATTAATCTGTACATTTATAATTTTAACCACAGCTGTCACAGAACTGTGTTATCTAGATAGCTGGTTGAATCGGTGTTGGAAAGGGTTCAATTTTGCCACGTGATATTAACGTGATGCTGACTCCAGACTGGGCAACTCGGAAGCTGTAGGATAAACCTATATCAAAAACGTTTTAGTAGATAATACCAGATAACAGTTGTCAAAAGTGGAAATAGTTGATCGAAAAAGCCATCAAGAAGCGTTATTAATTATATTTCAATTAAACTGGATAGTTTAAAATTGTGTGTAAAATCAGTGCTGTTTATAAATACAAAAAACAAAAGAAACGAAAGAAACTAGCGGTATCCCTGGCTTCAGATCTTGCACAGAGTAACAACCTAGGGGTCAGTGAGGACAGCAGTAGAGAAGAAGATATTCAACATGAGTCCCTGAAGGTGGGGGATTATGTGGCACTCGTAGAGGAGGCAAGCATGCTAGATCAGCCCAAGATATTACATGGGCGAATTCAGTCTCAAGAACTCTGAACTCGTATCAGTCAAAGCTGAACGCGATTTGGGTGTCTGTGTATCCAACAACTTGACTTGGAACAAGCAGGTACTGGAACAAACTACCATTCTCATCCACCGTCTCTTACAGTTCGAGATTGAAAACTCTGTCTTTACTACCAATAACTTACTGGCATGAATACCTTGACATGATTTTTTTCTTTAAACTAACGCACAACCTGATACACGTGAAGCCTAATCTACTACCTGTACCTCGACGTACACGACCAACAAGATCATCAAACAGTAATGTTGTCAAGTACGCAGTACGTCAGTGCAGAATATGGAACGCTCTCGCTGATAAACTAAATCTGAACATGGACGAACTAAACACATTTAAACGCGCCATGTTAAGTTACTACGTAACGTCACTGGACAGTTACAACTGTTACGACCCACGTACTTTTAAAACAGTTTGTTTAAAATGTAACTCTTGCAGATTCCTCACTTTTGCTACCTCCTGTTGTTAGTTATTTGATTCAAAWGCGTCAATATATCTACTTAAATTATCTTTATGCACTAAGTTTCATTTAAGACATTATTTGGGCCCGCAGTAATTGGCTTAACGCTGTTGCGGTCACCCTGTCATATATATCACAATATATATATATATACCAATACTACGATTATTTCTTACAGAATGACAAAACAATCTTACGCAGAATAACAAAACAATCTTAGTTATTGTAGTATTTCCTGTCATAGGAGTATAAAACGACGCACCCATAAATTTAGCCATCCTCTTTGGTATAACTTTCTTGATTAACATTGGTTTAACTAGTTCTAAAAATGTCAAAATCATCCGTCGCAATCGCGCCAGATATGCCCCGGTTTTTGAAAAGTGTGAGAGGAGAAGGGATCTTCTTTAAGATCGATGGCCATCGCTTCAAGACAAAGAATGATCATTTGACGGAAGAAATATTGGAGGTGCAGGCCACATCCAACTAAATCATACCAGCATTATGTTCTAGGGAGTGAATACTTTGATTAGCGCATGGTTATATAATTAGAATACTATCAAAATTGGAAGTTTATCCTTACACTGGTGAAATTGAAAAAAGGCTTTGACGTTCACTACTTGGCAGATACTTTTAGCATTTCTGCTGGCCAGGTTTCAAGAATATTTAACACCTGGGTTATATTCAGTTATCATTTTTAGTTCCCTGGCCGAGTAAGGCACAAATTCAGATAAATCTGCCCAAGAGGTTCAAGAACTTTGCAAATGTCAGAGTGAAAATAGATTGTGTGTAGTTGTATTTGCAAAAGCCCAAGCAACCTACAAGTCAAAAAATTACATGGAGCAACTACAAACATTGCAACACTGCAATGTAATTTCATTTATCCCCCATCTATCWACAGGATGCATTAGTAACAAGGAAATTGTAAAACACAGTGGATTAATTTATGTA